CAATGAGCTGAACCATAAAATATGCATAGTCTCATGCAAATGCCATGACTTATGTATTTATATTAGACACTGAGATGCAGGTACATTATCGCAGCATTTATGTGATGATGTAACCATCTCCAGAAGGAGTACTTTGAAGCATACAAAAATGGGCGTGAGTTGAAAAAGGTAGTACTGTGATTATAAAACAGGCTCTGGGAAAATCTTTGCTTGTCCTTAAACAACATCATTAGCTTCCAAGCGATTACAAAGAGAATTCTGCAGTTACCTCTAAAGCCTTCCAAGTATTCTGCCAGAAGCAGCGATTCACTCTTCCATTAGGTTGCCTAATGGGCACCAAGGACCAGTTCCGTAGAGAGAGGTTTTTCCATGGACCGGAGAGTGTGTGGTTTTGTGTGCTGCCTGCATCCCACGGATGGGGCCTTGCTTGTTTGTGCGGACCGGTTGCTGGCATGCTGCACCCCCTGATATAGCCCATCTTCTGAGTCCTTCTCAGTCCTCTCTCTGAAATGAGCTGTGAAGTAATTTGAGCAGCAATTTTGTCATTTATGAAATCCCTTTAGGCAATTTCCATCACAGGAGGCCTGCATATTTGAACATCTGTCCTGGGTCAAACAAAGCCTTTTAATCACTGCTGATGATTTCAGTGCGTGATTTCAATATCTTTTATTACTCTATTTTTACATAGGCAAGATATTCTGAGGATATGTCTACTTTAGGCATCTACATTTTTAGAACAAGAATACAGCCGAGTGGGAAATCACTTAATCCTTAATGGGAAGATTAAGTAGGGCAGTGAGGTAAACATATCTCTCTTAATACTAAAGTCATTCTGCAAGTAATTGTTGATTCAGCTTGACTGAACAACTGAGTCTCATAAATTTATTGCTCATTACTTTTTAAAGATACATAATTGAATGTATCTCTCTATTAGAACATTCCGCCCATCAGCATTATCCATTACAGATCCCAATTTAAATCTAGTTGAACCAGTTTATAGTTGTTAATGTTTTTCCCTCACCCACACAGGGAATTACTAAAATGTGTCCTTGCTGAATTTAGTTAAACTGAAGTCCTCAAAATCATCAACTGTTAGGCTTCAAAGGTAAGCTGTTCCTTACCTCTTCTGCAAAAACAACGCAAGGACTTTGAAGAAGAGTAGAACATAATCCAATGATAAGGGAAAAATAGTGACTTGTCTTCCAGGTAAACTTACTGTAGCTGAAACACCTGTTTTTTAGAAATATAAATTAGCCTGTGTTATAATTTGCTAAATCAAAAGCGGTTCTGTTAACAAATTATTAATTAGAGAAGTATGCAGGCCTCCAGTGTTTGGGTTGAACTTCACATATTTCCATCAAAGTGTGGGTTGAAGAAAAATACAGTTTCTATCAAGTAACTGTAGGAGGTGGCAGAATTATTTTTCCTCCTGTGTGACTGAACTCTTTATTCCTGCACAACTATTTTCAAACACTGCCGGCCTACCTCAGTCACCATGTCAACTGCAATCCATCTGCTTCTCTGTATAAAACCTCTGCCATCTGTTTGCTTTAATGTGAAAAAAAGAACTGAGCCAGCCTATTTTTATTTGCCATCTACAAATACAGGAATACATACTCTGGTACAAGAAATGCAATAAACAATCTCTTGACTCTAACTGGTCACTTGAGAGCACCTGAAAACCACCTCAGTTTCCTAATCAAACTAATAATAATGCCCATGGAACTTCACAAATATTTAAAGATGATATGTCAACACTCATCAATAAAGAATATAAAACACAAGGACATCATGTTTTCAAGGCTCCAAGAATACTTCAGCCAATGGATAAAAATATACATTTCCAGTAAAATGTTAAACCTGAGATGAGAATCTTTCCTTTCCTCCGTTTTTTGTTCGCTTGGCAAATGATTGGAGGCCGCAGGCTTATAGTTAATGAGGACTGTTCCCTTTTTTCCCAGGGCTTCCTAATCTCCAGCTAAAAATTAGATAGAAAGAAAAAGCTGAAAACAAACCAAATGCCATCATTTGTCCATCTTTGACAGGCAACAATTCAGTTCAAATGAGGGGTCCTTGGTGCTCTCTGAGCTTGATTGTTTTTTTGCAGACATTTCATTACCCAAACTAGGTAACATCATCATCACCAAGGACCCTTCATTTCAATCCTGAGCTACAAATATTCTCCTTTATTAATTTGGTTCAACTCTATGGGGTACATATGAGTAGATATGTTTATGACTGCACTGCTGGATTGTGTGATAATGTTTCTTTTCTGTTCACCCACCATACATGGTCATGGGGAACCGTCATCCCTGCAGCTCCAGCAGACACAGCCAATAAGGGATAATGAAGGATGCTGACAATATTTCTCAGCTGCCTCTACTACTAATGCCCAAATGTGTACTTCAGCAATATCTGGAGGCCACAAACTTCTTCATCTGAACCTCTGAAATCTACCATCAATTAAAGTAATTACTTAATCTAATATCTTTTAGATGTGAGGGGTCCTTGATGCTCTCAGATGATAGTTCTCTTGCAGATGTTTCATTACCCAAACTAGGCAACATCATCAGTGTTAGGTCTGCAACATCTGCAAGAAAACAACCAAGCTCAGAGAGTACCAAGGACCCTTCATTTCAGTCCTGAGCTACAAATATTTTCCTTTATTGGTGCCTTCTAGAAGAGTTGGACGTAACTCCTGACATTCTTGTTACCAAAACTACTGGTTGATCTGACTGGCAATGCGAATTTGTCTGGAAATTTCCAGAGAACACCAGGTTAGAAAAAAGAGCTAGACAATACCAATTTGCCTAGACTGTTTCTATTTCGGTATTACTCCAGTATTTAAAAGATAATGTTTCATTTCCTGTTTCTTGAAACTAAACTTTTAATGTTAAATCACTTTCTGAGCAAGCTCTTAGTTGGTGACTAAAAATCAACAGCACAAATTCAGTCTCTTTGCAAACATTAAACAGCACAACACAGTACACCTGTTTAGATGATGAATATCATGTCAACCCATTACGATAAAGATACACAGAATGGAAGTTTAATCACCGAGGGTTGGGTTCAATAAAAGTGTAATTCCAATCCCCAAATGACAGAACAGAGTAACACCTTAGGATATAGAAACTAATTACTATTTCTCTAGAGTATTTTTTCTTTTAAATGATACTATGATAAACGGCCCTCTAATGTTATATAAGAGGAAAACATGTTGTGACAATCATGCAAACAAACCAATTTCTGTGTCAGCATGTAAAATAATCCCTTTTTTGCTGTTTGAGTTCTATATACTTTTCATGAAAATGATTTTAGGGTCTCAGTCTCATTTCAACATTCTAAACTGCCTAGGGGCCAGGGGTTCTCAACCTTGGCAACTTTAAGACTTATAAAGTTGCCAAGGTTGAGAACCCCTGGAGGACATCTGAATTGCATTGTCTCAGAATTAGATGATTGCTGGAAAGCTTGATAGTGCAGTATTCAGGATCAAGCCCAGTTGATCATGTAGCTTCAAACTGTTTCTCATGTCAGTCTTAAATGAGGTGATAGTTTACATCAGTGTTCCTCAGTCAGGGCAACCTTACCACCTATGGATTTCAACTTGCAGAATTCCCCAGCCAGCCTTGCTGGTAATTATGAGAGTTGAACTCCACAGGTCTTTAAATTGTCAGAGCGAAGAAACATTGGTTTAGATTAAAGCATTCTGCAAAGTAAATATTGAGAGGTTCAATAATGAATTCAGATTAGGTTTCTCATCCTAGGCAACCTCAGGTCAACAAAGCAAAGCACATTGAATTGCAAGTAGGTGATTGTAATACAACCCTTTCAGTGCCACTTTGCATACTAGACTGTTTGTTAATCTGGATTTTGAAACAAGCAATTTATCATATGCTTAAAAGTCATCTGAATGACTGTACAGACCCTGATATTAAATCCTAAACACAATACTTGAATTTTACTTGGAGGTACTCAAGATATAACAGAAAGACATGGCTGTCCAGCGAGAACCATTCTCCCATCATGGGAAATAAAGGAAGATGGCAACTGTGGGATCAATGAAGGACATGTATGCATTTTAAGAAAGTGGAATAATACATGTCCTCTAATTAATTTCCAGTATGCTGTCCAGACACCAAGTAAGAGAGGTTGATAAATTGAATGATTCCTGAAGGCAGTTTAGCATGATTTCAATTCTGAATGGAAAGGTAAGGGAAGTCAGCGGAATACCTGGCAGTAGGAACCAATTAAGTGGTGAGACGTAATATAGGCAATCAGATCAGTGAAGTAATTGAAGGGGTAACTGTAATCTAGGTGAACATCAAAGGAAACCCACAGACTTCCTGCAGTCAGAAAAGCTGCACTCTCTTCTCCTGCAGCAAAAATAAGCAGGCCACGTGTCTATGGAGATTCTCATTCCTCCAGACCAGGGGTCTTCAAACTTGGCCCTTCTACGACTTGTGGACTTCCAACTCCCCGAATTCCTCAGCCAGGCACGCTGGCTGAGGAATTCTGGGAGTGAAGTCCACAAGTCATAAACGGGCCAAGTTTGAAGACCCCTGCTCCAGACCATGGTTGTCCCGAAGGTGCTTTTTCAAAAGGCAACTTCTCATCCAACAAGCTTCTTGAGTTCTGACTTCTTGGATGAGAAGCGAAAGGCCTTCGAGGAAAAACAAAGTCCAGTTGCCTTTTGAAAAAGCACCTTTGGGACTGCAAGCCACATCTTAGGATGGAATGGGACAACTTACCTCAGTCAACTTGCCACAGCCAACTCGCCATGGCCAACTTGCCATGAGGCAACTTACTGCAGGACAATTCAATTTAATTATTTTAAAGTAATTAAAAATATTTTAATTGTTGTCACTTGCAATTCATTTTGTCCTTCCTTTGGCATCTTTAATGATTTTATTTCACTATTTCTTCATATTAGTGTAAGTCTTGCCCCATGGAGACTTGTCACAGACTAATCTACATTCTTGCCTAGCATTAAATCATGCTCCTTTCTAAACGGGACTTAGGATATTCCCTTCTCGATCCTGCTCCTTCCTTTTTTCTCCCTACTTGCGAGCGAGCCAACTCTTACTTGTTCCTCAATCAGCTCCCCTCGCGTCCCCTGTCGCTTTCGGGGTGTGGGTGGGGATGGAAACTAACTCGGCTGGGACGCATTTTCGCTTCCGCTTTTTTTTCGACGGCCCGTTCATAAGTCCCATCGGAGGAGGAGGAGGAAGAAGAGGAGGAAGAAAACCTGTTTTAGAACTTGCGGATGGCAGACGGAAGGCAGCGATGCTCGCTACTCTGTGCCACTCACTACTCCTCGTAAAGTCCTGGCTTCCCCTCCCTGCGGCGGGACAGCGCTGCAAGCTCTCCTCCGCCTCCCGCCACTTCCTCGTTGCACAAGCCGCAGCGAGCCTCCCAGGTGCTCAGTTCACCCCAAGCTCGCCCTGAAGGAAGAGGACGGCCGATCGGGGGCCCCAATCCGGGCCCGGGTGCGGGGCTAACAGGACTGGACCGGGAACCGCTGCTACTGCTGCTGCTGCTCTTCCGCCGATGCCCCGGGCTCCCGCCTCTCCATGCCCGGAGCCGGGGCTGGCGGGAACGACACGCTCTTCCCCTTCTTTTCGGACTTCAAGGACGCGGCCGTCCGCCTGGGGCTGAGCATCGTGGAGACGGTGGTGCTGGCCTCGATCTTCGGCCTGGCCTTGGTGGCCAACGCGGGCGCCATCCGGCTGGTGCTGCGCCGCAAGGGCCGGCCGGGCGCCGCCAGCTGCCTGGTGCTCAACCTCTTCTGCGCCGACCTGCTCTTCATCAGCGCCATCCCGGTCATCGCGGTGGTGCGCTGGACCGAGAGCTGGACGCTGGGCGAGGCCGTCTGCCACCTGCTCTTCTACCTGATGAGCCTGAGCGGCAGCGTCACCATCCTCTCGCTGGCCGCCGTCAGCTTGGAGCGGGTGGTCAGCATCGTCCGCCTCAAGCCCTCCAAGCCCTGGAAGGGCCGGCTGGTGGCCGCCTGCCTGCTGTCCATTTGGGTCTTGGCGGCTCTGGCCACCCTCCCGCTCAGCCTCTTCTTCAGCGTCCAGCCGCTGCCCACCAGGGGCCAGGTGAGTTGATCCTGGTGGTGGCCGGCAACCTTGCACGACCAGCTTGGGGCCTGCAGGACCCTGATGTGGCAAGAAATGTGGTGGCAGGTGTACAAAGGCACAACTTTACTACCCACGTCCTAAGCACCACTTACTTACACTCAGGCATTTAACAGAATAACAGCCTTGGAAGGGACCTGGGAGGTCTTCTAGTCCAACCCCCTGCTCAGGCAGGAAACCCTACATACCAAATGGTTGTCCAAGCTCTTCTTCTTAAGAACTTCTAGTGTTGGAAGTTTTATTTATTTCTGATTTTCTTTAGTTAGCTTCTCTGCTCCAATAGGGTTATTTTCTTTGCTCTCCTCCATTTCCCCACATGTCAGTTAAGTTAATGACAAGTCAAGATTGCTTAGTGAATCTCAGGGCTGAGGGTGGATTAGAACTGGGATTTCCCTGTGTTAGGCCAGGCTGGAACCAAATTGTTAAACAGCAACATTCCACATGGCTCAGAGTGCAATTTAGCAGATTTCACTTCGAGTTCAGGCCCATCTTAGAGATATTTAAGCAGAGGCTGAGGGGCGCTGTCCGTTTGTCAGATGAGCTGTAATTTCATCTTGTGTTGTGGTTCACAAAGCTAATTCAACAGCCTCCAATTTCTCTTCCAAATCATTTTATCATTAGAATAAGGCTGCACATCGCATTCTGTATTACATGCGACATTGCACAAAATTCTAAAGATTCTGATGAGCAAGAATATTCAACAGATTTCAGGATGTTGGATGCTCAGGGTGTACTTTGAGAACATGCTACAGCTAAATTGGGGTCTCAAGCTGCTTTGCCTGGATCATTCTGTCCCTAGATCACCAACCCGCCATGTGTCTATCTTAGATCTTGCCAGACATCCTGCGTGTTGAGCACAGAAACCAGGCTTGGCAGAGGGATGATCTTCTCTATACATCTACTGCCAATTTATTGTGTTTCTTTGCTGAATATATAGAAGGTGAAGTCCTTTGCATGTGCAGCAAAGAAATAAACAGGAGATGGAAGAATGGTTCAGTCCATCTATTCCTAACCAGCCTGAATTTCTGCATTAGCTATACAGGGAGATTCATCAGCTTCCCTTTATCATCAGGCCTGTGATAAAGAACACAAAGAATGTTCTTTTCTTTCATTGCAGACTTTTTTGTTTCTTTTCTGGCCTCTCATAACTTCTCCATGGGATGCTTGGGCTTCTGAAGGAAGAGTTAAAGTCTCCATGTTTTTTAAAATAGTCTGCTTTATGTTGACCTTGCTGGGGAAAAGAGGTTTCTTACCATAGCTTATTATAGAGGAACAGTGAATTGATAAACAAGCCAAAACATGCACCTCTTTTCTTGTACTTTTTTCTTGCAAAATGGTCACTTACCTACTAGAAATTCTTAGTCCCCTGTGGTAGCCAAAACTAGCTTTTCATAATGAACGAGCAAATGATCTGTTTCTTGCTAGATCAGGATGTAGGGATCTCTGCATTTTGATCTTATAGGTTTCCTACTATGGAGATTCCAGATACCAATTTTAAACAGGAGAACAGTGTGGAGGATACTGAAACAAGAGTAAAAATCTCAGTAAAGGAAACTTCTAAGATAAATTTTACAAACCTCAGTCTCTTCTGTGGGAGTACAAATAACATTATGGATTAGCATGAGTCTCAAGTGAACTATCACTTGATTGCTTTTCCTTCTATTCCTTCTTGTGTGGCCAGGAAGAGAAAAAAGCCTACTTATGTGCCAATCACAAGCTCCAGTCCAGGTTTGATTTAATGATTTTCAAAAACAGAGTAATGAGCATGAGAAAGACACAAGGGATCAATTTTATTTTCTAATAGAAGGGGGTGAAATTTGCAGACCCAGACTTGTTTCTGAGGGGATAAACCCTGTCTAGGTTCTATGACATACATGCTGGAGATTTGGAGGCAATATGTTAAATTCTGCTTTTTTATAATGAGCCTTGTCTTTACCTGTGAGTTTGGGAGATAATTGTATTACATTTGCAGACATGGGTGCTTCTCCTCAGCAGATAAAAACTGCTATGCACCAGGAATGCAAAGGATAATTCTCTGCCCTCAGTCCATGTATTGATTTATCTATTTGGTAAATAATATCTACAAATAATGTCAATATTTTCAGGGAGGAAACCTGCCAAATTATAGGTTACAAATTACAAATAGGGATGCAGAGAGCATAAAGCTAGATAACTTTCTATGTTGTTTTCTAAGACAGGTAATTCTGTAATTATTGTTTTTGAATAGAATTAGAGAACCAAAGGCAAATGCCTTTTTCAAGATAGTGTGATTGGAAAACCTCTGGTAAATCAGTCCATAAGATTTGAAAGTAGACTTGTCAGTTGCTTAACTTCAGCCATCTTCCTTCCATCTCTTCCCATCTTCCCATTTTAAATGTAATGTTTCCCCCCCCCCAAACCTCTATGATTTTGTAGGACAATGTAAATGCCAGTATATATACAGAAGTGCCCTGGATGTTTTGATTTAGTTTGGTTTGCTTAATAGAGATTACAATTTATCTCTGAAGTGTGATGTAGCTGAATTCAATTCAGAGTGAATTCAGTGCATGTATTTCATCTATCTTTCTCTCCTATCTATCTATCTATCTATCTATCTATCTATCTATCTATCTATCTATCTATCTATCTATCTAGTCTCTATCTGTCTATATAGCTATTTATATTGAACCGAGGTGGCACAGTGGTTAGAATGCAGTACTGCAGCTACTTCTGCTCACCGGCTCAAAATTGACTCAGCCTTCCATCCTTCTGAGGTCGATTAAAATGACCAATATGCTGACTCTGTAAACCACTTAGAGAGGGCTGTAAAGCATTGCGAAGTAATATATAAGTCAAAATGCTATTGCTGTTATCCATCTATCTATCTACCTATCTATCTATCTATCTATCTATCTATCTATCTATCTATCTATCTACCTACCTACCTACCTACCTACCTACCTACCTACCTACCTACCTATCTATCTCTGTCAATTTCTATCTATCTATCTATCTATCTATCTATCTATCTATCTATCTATCTATCTATCTATCTATCTACCTACCTACCTACCTACCTATCTATCTATCTATCTATTTCTGTCTGTCATCTATCTGTCTATTTATCTGTCCATTGTGTATTTATTTCAGTTGTGCTTCCCCTGAAATATATTAAAAGTCCTGTAGCATAGAGACCAAGATTGTAATCTATTCTACATTCAGATCTTGCTATAAAACAAGGCCAATTACTTAGTTCCCTACTCAACTCTATTTGTTTGGAAGAATTGGTGAGATTATTAATTTTAAATACCTTGAAAAGTTTGTAAAGATGAGATACTGTGATTATGAATTGTCAGGAAAGTCATCTGAGGTTGTCTTTGCTTTCATTTTTGGAATTGATTAAAAAGATTTCACATGACAAAACTATTTGCCATGTGTGTCTGTATGTCCACAGCATGCAATACCAAACTGTTTATCAGCTGCTGTGTTATATTTTTTGTTTGTTTATGCTTATTGCATTTTATTGTTCCGATCATAATCTGCTTTGATATGTTGTCTGGAGAGCAGTTAAAGAATGATTTAAATCATAAATGCCTTCAATATCATAATGGGGTTAATGATCTTCCAGCAATTATAGTAAATGAAGGAAAGCTCCATGACAGAAAGAAGTGTGACAGTTGGGGAGATTCATCCACAGTGACCAGATCCCTTCTGTCTTTTTCTTGTTCAGATCCATGCACAATATTACATATTGGACAAAAAGTAAAATAAAATGTAGCATTGCAAATTGGAGAGCTCAACTTTGTTCACCCCAAAGTACGACTAATGTTAGCTGCCTATTACCAGGTTCACTGAGTACTTTACAGTCCTAAGAATACATAGTGTAGGCGTATCAAAGAGATTGCGTAGGCTTTGATTTAGGGATTTCAAGTTATGCAAGTATCTTGATTATCTTGCAATGAGTGAGCAAACAAAGACCAAGAAGAAAGAAATCTTTCTTTGACTTGATAATTGAGGCATTAAACAGGAAGAAATGGATAAGCATTTCCTCAAGAAAAGCAGGATTGAGGTGGACATTCTTCAGCCTCTGAATCTCACAGTTTTAACTTGCTGGAGCTCCCATCAGCCAGGTTGTTAAACAGGCTTCAAATAAAATGGCCCTTGAGTTGAGCTTGACTTCTGCTGACTTCAAGAACACCATTGTACAGTTTTCCTGGCAACAGTATCTACATGATTTGCCATTTCTTTCCTAGGCATTGCTTATGGACCTGGGCTTAGTTTACAGCCCGCAGTTCTGCAATTTCTTGGTGGCCTCCATTCAGGATCTATCTAGGTCCAGTCCTGATTAGCTTCATGTGACATCTCTCACCCAGCTGTGCATATAGGTTTAATGATGATCAGAAGCAAATAGTCTTCCCAGACACACTGTTCTTCCTTTAAAACACATAAAATGTCAACTCCAGACATTCAAAGGTGGCTGCCTCAGCTGGATACTGAGAGGGGTAGAGTTTGAAAAATTAAGTTTTTTGAAACAAAATAAAAATGTAAGAGCCTTTAGATATTTCTATATGCAAAAATACCCCAAGATTTAGATAGGGACTGATTTTATATTAAGGAATAAAGAATTTTCCCTACAAGAGCTTCTCGCTCTGTGTATGGGGTGAGTGGGAGAATCCAGACTTCACATGTTTAGAGCAGACATATTGACATTCCTAACTAATTTGATCCATTGATTTTAGTATATCTGCTTTATACCTGTCCACTAATAGATGCCAAAAGTTGACATCATTTTGTTTCTCCTTTGGTGACCAATATTCCTGTTGTTGTGATTATTTTATTGGCAAAATAAAAGAGAGAAAATACTTTTATGTTGTACTTAGCCAATTTTATTTGACAGTAAAGAACTTTTACATGCAGTAGGGAGAACAGAATGAGTTTTCTTAACCATTAAATAAAATAAGTAGAGTGAAGCTATTTTTAATTTCTGTTTTATAGAATATATGTACCCCTATAATTCCTTCATTTTTAGACCTGATAAAAAATAAAAGCAATTCTAATTTTTCAGGTCCATTTCTTGATTTTATGTTGGATTAAAATTGAAAATGTTCGTGATTGCAAGCCACCTATGCTAGTTAAATTCTCCAAAAGCCATAGAGAGCAAAAAGGACAAAATATGATAAAGTGTCTTATAGTACACTGTAACGTAAAAGGTAAACAGGGACAAAGCTTAATAAAAGTGGGGCTATTGGATCAGAGCTGATTCTAGATGACCAACAGATGGCAGCAGAGTCCAAACCTTTAGGGTTTTCTGTGTCTCTTTGCTGACATCTAGGACTCATCTATATTTTTGCAGGGAACAGAACAGTTGAGGACTAGTTTACATGGGTGGAGGAACCAGTCCAATAGAAGTGGGTTTCATGGACCTATAGTCAACTTGTTGATCTTGAAATGGGTTTCTCTGAAATGTTGGGTGACATTGCCCATGAATGCTGCCACTGCCAAGGTTCCTACAGATGTTACTGAATCGCAAATCCCACAGCTCTTCATTGTTAGCTTAGGTAGCTGGGATTGCTGGGAATTGTAGTTCATCAGTACTTTAACTGCACTTTTTCTTTTTTAAAAAAACCCCTCTCCCTCATGTTTTAAACTTTGGCAATTATAAGAAAATATGGCATAGAGAGAAATGTGCAGAAATATAAGTGTTATGATGAATTTATAATTAGAGTTTATAAAAATCTTTGTTTCCCATGCTTGAGCAACATTCCTGCCTCTTATATCATATCTAGCATGCAGAAACCAGATGAGAAATCACTTGATGGCAACAAAGTATTAGAGCTTTCTGTCTATGGAGATTCTCAGTCATACAGGTCATAGTTGTCCCAAAGATGCTTTTTCAGGAGGCAACTGGACTTTCTTGTTTTTCTTTGAAGATGTTTTACTTCTCATCCAAGAAGCTTCTTCAGCTGTGACTGCATGGTGGAGAATGGAAGGATTTATACTCCTTGCAAACAGCTGGTCATTTACATTTTTTTAGAGAGTCACTGAGGCCACCTGAACTTTTATCTGTGTCCTCAGGATCACCTGAGTAGTGTAAATGGGTATGGAGCCTTCTTGGAATGGTTGAAAGGACTATGTTGTAGACTGGAGATAGATGATGTCGTATCCCCCTCTGTTGATGTTCTGTTGAGGGAGGGATACGACATCATCTAACTCCAGTCTATAACACAGTCCTTTCAACAGTTCCAAGAAGGCTCCAACCCAATTTGCACCACTCAGGTGACCTTGAAGACACAGATAAACTTCCAAATGACCTCAATGACTTGGATGTAATGAATACAAATGACCAGCTGTCTGCAAGGAGTATAAATCCTTCCATTCCCCACATCCAGTCAGAGCTGAAGAAGTTTCTTGGATGAGAAGTGAAACATCTTCAAAAAAAAAAAAAAAAAAAACCCAAGAAAATCCAGTTGCCTCTTGAAAAGGCATCTTTGGGTTAGAGTTTTCTGTTTCTCTTTGCAGTCATCAAATGGTCGTCTAGATTTTTGCTGCCAGATATAGCAGCCTTGTTTCTTTTGAAGATTTGGTGTTCTTGCATAAAGAAGCAGGCTTCCCTAGAGAACTGCAAGATGGATGTGTAGACCAGGGGTCCTCAACCTTGACAACTTTAAGACTTGTGCAAAGCTGGCTGAGGAATTCTGGGAGTTGAAGTTCACAAATCTTAAAGTTGCCAAGGTTGAGGATCCCTGGTGTAGACCAGTGGTTCTTAACCTTTTTGAACAAATCACCCCCTTGAGCCAATGAGGAAGTTGTGATTGCCCCCCTCCCCCAACATAACCTCTCAATCACAACATAGGAAATAATTCTTCAATTTATGCAAACACTTTTTTTGTCTTCTTTAAAATTGTCATCAGGACATATGATGCAAATAATTTGTTTCCAGTCTTTTTCTCATATCTCAACTGTGTGAAAAATTTTGGTGCCACCCGTCACTTTATTCCCAAACTTCGTGATACATGTATTTCATTATTATCTTATTTATTCAAGACACTTAAATGTAATGACCACTGAAACAAAATTCAATTGCAAGAAAGTGAAATGCCCGAAAAGAAAAACAGTAACATTTAATGATTGAATTACAAGTGAAATTTAAGATGCAAAAAGAAATATAAAAAGGGCATACAAACAAATCACAATGCAGGAACTAAGAATTTCAAGACGAAAACTCTGAAACTAAATTAAGATTTGAGGAAAGTATATATAGTCACGCACACTGTAAAAAGGATTAAAAAGACACAAAGAAAATATAATATCGAACTGGAGTGCATGCTAAAAAAGTACAATACAAAGAGACACACAAAACAGCATGTGATGTTTCGAAAGAAGCACTCCCCCCTCCATCACTGCCCATTCTGGCCAATGGCGCGCCACTGTATGGGTAGAGCAGGGGTAAGCAACCCAAAACACTCAAAGAGCCACTTGGACCTGTTTCCCACCAAAAACAAAACACTGGGAGCCGCAAAACCCTTTTGACATCTAAAATGAAGATAACACTGCATATATCCTTTTTTACCTATATATATATATATATATATATATATATATATATATATCTTCAGTGTTATCTTCATTTTAGATGTCAAAAGGGTCTCTCTCTATCTCTATCTCCCTCCCTCCCTCTCTCTCCCTCTTTCTGCCCTTGGTCAGTCCTCTTCCCCCACTCAGTCCTCTTCCCCCACTCAGTGTGTGTGTGTGTGTGTGTGTGTGTGTGTGTGTGTGTATGTGTGTGTGTGTGTGTGTGTGAGAGAGAGAGAGAGAGAGAGAGGAGAGAGAAGCACTTGCACTTCCTCTCTCTCTCTTTCCTCACTCATTTTCTCTCTCTTTTTCTCCCTCTCCCTCTCTCTTTCCTCTCACTCCCTCCCCCCTTCTTTCTCCAGGTGAGGAGAAAGAGAAAGAGAGCGAAAAGCAGAGGGCACCAAAGGGGTAGGAGGGAGGCAGCAGAAGACCCCCTGTCACCACTGGAGGCACCCAGCTCCGCTGCCCACTGGGCCTGCGGGGACGCCCCAGCTCATGGTCACGTTGGCATGACCGCAGATGCCGCTGGGGTCCCCGGGCTCAAGTCGGGGCCACAAGGCATCTGCGGAATGCCCCGCCTATCAGCTGCATCGCCAAGCCTCCCCTCATACCACCGGTGTCCCCAGGCTTAAGTCGCAGGGCATCCGCGAAATGCCCCCATCAGCTGCATAGCCAAACCTTCTCCTGCGCCACCGGCGTCCTCGGTTGGAACCAGAGCAACAATCCACCTCCTGCCAGGACTAACGCTGAAGCCTCCCGTGCTGCCGGTAGGTCCGTCATGCTGGAGGAGCTGGGGCCGCTCCGCACTGCGTGGCGCCCATGGCAATCCACAACCCACCAGCGTCGCCCAGGGAGCGATGCCCCTGCCAGCCGCTGCCCCTGCGGTCCGCCGCCCCAGGGGGCAGCAGGAGGAAGAAGGGGAGGAGGAGGAGGGCAAGGAAGCCAGCGCAGGGCCCCAGGAGAAGGCGCTCCCGTGGTCCGGCCAGGGCTCTTCTGCTGCTGGTTGGAAAATGCCTCCCCCCTCCCTTTCTCTCCCCCCCATCTTCTGCTCACCTCACATTCTTCGCCGACAAAGCAGCCAGGATTCCAGCTTGCCTTCCCGGCCGGCTGGGCCAACGGTCCCGCAGCTGGGGATCGCAGGGGCTGCTCTCCCTCGGGGCCGCGGCTTGCAGGAAGGCTGGCCCGTTCAGTTGAGGCTCTAGCAGGCTGCTCCCAGCGGGGATCCCGGGGCTTCCCCATCAGTTCCCCGGCCACGTGCACCTTGGATGGGGCCAGCCAGGGAAAGGGACTTCCTGGCCACGCTTCTCCCAGGGGGGCGGGGCACCCGGGTGCAGGGCCAATCAGGAGTCCTACGAGAGGGCAAATCCGTATGAGAGAGAGAGAGAGAAGCACAAGTGCCTCTCTCTGCAAATGGCGGAGGAGGCTCGGAGCCGCAGGGGAAGGCTCAAAAGTGTCCCCGAAACTTCTTGTTCCATCGCCCCCATATCACCCCCTTTTTGTTCCTTCGCCCCTGCGTCGCCCCTTTTTATTCCATCGCCCCCCTGAAAAACAAAATTGCCCCCTGGAGGACGATATCGGCCAGGTTAAGAACCACTGGTGTAGACCATAAGAAGAAACAGGAAACAATAATCTTCAGAGAAGATCTTATAATCTTCATTTATAACCTGCAGCTGTTATTAATGTAGAAAGATTGAGGTCATAACTTCCAATGTTTGCCAAGCTATTCAGTTGCACTGATGCGATACTTTGGTTTGATTTTTGCTTTTCAAATCCTCAGAGTTGATACACCTTTATTTGGATACACACCATTATTTACAATAACAGATAATGTAATTGTTAGCTATTTCATAGCTTATGTTTGGTAAGTAATTACATCATGCGGAAGAATGGGATGAATTTTTCTGAAAGGTTATGTTGAAATCCAATGAAGTGCTTACAGAGGTTTTGTTCTTTGCTTTCAGGAAGTGTATATCTGCACCTTGGTTTGGCCGACCATTGCAGGAGAAATCGCTTGGGATGTGTCCTTTGTCACTGTGATCTTCCTAATACCAGGACTGGTCATTGTAATTAGTTATTCAAAGATTTTACAGGTATTTCTCATGGTTTTGCTTTTTTAAACAAAAATACAATGCTAAGAGTTGCCTACTGTTAAAACTCAGGCAGTGGTATTTCAAATGGATTGTCATTTTAGCAGACCACAAGAACATACCGAAGGAAGTTGATAATGCAATAAGCAACACACAACTGACTTTTTAATATTCTTAATAATCTCAGTCTTTTATTGTTAAAACCTAAGAACATAAGCATTGCCCTGCTGAATCAAACCCCTGCCCTATCTATATCTAATAATAGAGTTGGAAGGGAACTTGGAGATCTTCTAGTCCAACCCCCTGCTCAGGCAGAAACCCTATACTATTTCAGACAAATGGTTGTCCAATCTCTTCTTAAAAACTTCCAGTGTTGGAGCATCCACAACTTCTGGAGACAAGTAGTTCCACTGATTTTTTGTTCTGACTGTCAGGATATAAGTCTAACAGTCTGTTCTCACAGTGGCCAACCAACTGCACAAGGAGGTCTGTTGGTCACCCAGCAGGTGGCCTTCAGAGGCAGTCACATTGCCATTGAGGCTAATAACCTTTGATCCTCCTGACTTGGTGAATCAACCCAACTCTTTTTCTGAAGCCAGCCAAGCTGGTACCCCACTCCACATCTCAAGGGAGCCAATTCCAAAGTGATAAATGGGAGTTACAATTATTTATTCAATCTAACAAGCTTATTGCAATGGAACTCAAAATACAGCATACATTTAAAACTATAATGTAAAAAAAAGCTCAAGGCATGAGCTTATAAATATAAAAATCTATCAGAATGGGAGAAAATATCAGCTAAATCTGGGAAAGGTAAGTGTTCAGCTTCTACCTGAAAGCAGAGAGAGCAGGAGTTAGGTGCATTTGGGGCGATAACAGAATTGCTATGTAGGAACTGAAATTGAAACAAAGCTGCTTAATCTGTGTTTGTAAGCTAGGTAGATTTATGAGTAAGCAGGAAATCTTTTAACCCATAGTTTGATTCCAAGCCAGATCTGGGTTGCAGAAATCAGACAGCTGGTAGATGGCAGCAAAGTGATATAGAAAACACTCAAATCAAATTTTAATACATTCATAGACCAGCGCAATAGAAAAGCAGTTGTTCTCTGCTATCAGTTACTGATTTCTGAAATCCCAGATCTGGTGGCCAACATTTGGCCTTTAAAGGTCATAATATACATTTTAAATTAAGTCCAAAGCAGGCTGGTAATCAGTGCAGCTGAATTAATCATTGCTATAGGCCTGACCCAGTTTAGAAATGTTGATGCTCCAACATGTCTATGAGGTGGCAGCTTAAAAAAGGCTATTATAACTGAATGCTCCAAGTGGATTTTTTTTTATTTAAAGTGAGCCATTTAAACATGTCTTTAGGATGTTCTGGTTTTTTTGTCCAAATAAAGGAGTAGCCAAAATGAGAGACCATCCTGGCTGGATTTGCTGGAACTATAGTTCAGCAATTCATGGAACATCACAGCTTTCTGACTTAGAATGTACAGCATCTTTAGTGATTGTAGCATTGAGAAGGAACCTCTTTTCCCTTTTCTGTCATAGCAAATATTTTCCTATGCAGTGTAAACATTCTTCAAATGCTGGGAACTTCATGCCCTGCCTGCTTAGAATGGAAGTTTTCTTATTGTCTCTAAAGGAAAAAATTATGACCAGAAGCTAGCATTGCATCATCATACAGGTAGTCCAAAACTTACAGCCATCCATTTAACAGTCATTCAAAGTTACATCAGTGAAAAATGTGACTTGCTACTGCTGCTCGCACTTGTGACTGTTGCAGCATCCCACAATCCATGGTCACCATTTGGGCACTTGCAGCATCCTGGGGTCATGTGATTGCTGTTTGTGAACTTCCCAGCAGGTTTCTGACAAGCAAAGTCAACAGGGGAAGTCAGATTTACTTAATGGCAGCATGATTCGGTTAACAACTGTGGTGATTTGCCTAACTTTGGCAACAATGGTCATAAAATCAGATGCAACTCATGTAACAACCGTCTTGCTTAGTAACAAAAATTCTGGCCCCAATTTTTGTTGTAGAAATAGCAATGGCGCTTAGACTTATATACCACTTCATAATGCTTTATAGCCCTCTCTGGGCAGTTCACAATATCAGCATATTGCCCCCAACAATCTGGGTCCTCATTTTACCGACCTTGGAAGAATGGAAGGCTGAGTCAACCTTGAGCTCATGAGAATTGAACTCCAGGCTGTGGGCAGAATTTGCCTGCAATACTGCATTCTAACCACTGCACTATCACACTTGTAAGTTGAGGACTTACCTCTTAAGGAATGGACTTCTTTGACAGGACTTTCATATCTGACTGGCAGAAATCCAGACAATCACTAAATGGCACAGTGATGCAAAAAAAACCCCTAACAATTTGCTGTCAGCTATGGTCACTTCAGTGTTTGCAGCCCAGATATGGTAGCTCTATCAGAGTCTCACAAATACATTTAATTCCTAATTAAATGTATAAAGCTAAATCTTTTTGTTGATACCAGTACAGCATAGTATGTCTCAATTCTTTCATATTGACTTTGTTAATATCAGGGACTGGATCTAAAGTCCCCTGTGTGGAATGACTTTGTGAACTATAATACTATGTTGATATAAGTTTGATAGGTATGATAATACCTATTTAATGCTACATTATTGCCATGGCTGCAGTAGTATGAACATGAATTCTTTGCTGTTCCACATTCCATCAAGATTCCTCAGCCACAATAATTTGAGCTTCAGGGTAACAAGAAACAGAAATGGTGAGATTGATCCACCAGGCAGCAGAAGTTGAGAGACCACATGGCAGGACCCCACCCCATCTATTTACTCTTTGATGCCTCAACAGCGTTTTCTCAGTTGCAGTTTTGCTGCTCTAGCTGCTCTTAAATGATCTACTGCGCTTAGCATAAGAGAGGCTCCTTTCCCATCAACTCTAGTGAAATAACATTTACTTCAGATGCTGGTCCAGTCAGCTTCCATACTTTCAATCAGAATAGAGCTGGAAGGGACCCTGGAGGTCTTCTAGTCTAACCCCCTCTCAGGCAGGAAACCCTATACCATTTCAGACAAATGGTTGTCCAATTTCTTCTTAAAAACCTCCAGTGATGGAGCACCACAACTTCTGGAGGCAAGTTGTTTCACTGATTAATCGTTCTAACTGTCAGGAAATTTCTCCTTAGTTCTAGGTTGCTTCTCTCCTGGGTTAGTTTCCATCCATTGTTTCTTGTCTTGCCTTCTGGTGCTTTGGAAAATAAGATGAGCCCCTCTTCTTTGTGGCAGCTCCTCAAATACTGGAATACTGCTATCATGTCGCCCCTAGTCCTTCTTATCTCTAGACTAGTCATACCCAGTTCCTGCAACCGTTCTTCATATGTTTTCGTCTCCAGGCCTTTAATCATCTTAGTTGCTCTTCTTTGTACTTTTTTTTTCAAAGTCTCAACATCTTTTTTGTAATGTGGTGATGCAGTATTCCCGGTGTGGCCTTATCTTGGGCCAATTCTCACCTTTCCCTTTTTTGTCATCTTGGGCTCACCTCACAAAGTTCTGTGAGCTTGCAGAAAAATATAATTTTTTAAAAGATTAAGAAATCCTAAGCATGAAATTTTTGAAACCTTCTCAAAGAGAAGAAAGATAATTCTCAAGGCTTAACTTTCCACTGTGGAATGCCTGAAAAGATATTCTATGTTTCAATTTCAGATTGCCAAGGCCTCAAGGAAACGCCTGCAGGTGGGCCTGGCCTACTCGGAGAGGCATCACATTCGCATTTCCCAGCAAGATTTCAAATTATTTCGGACCCTGTTTCTCCTGATGATTTCGTTCTTTGTCATGTGGAGCCCCATCATCATCACCATTCTCCTCATTTTAGTACAGAAGTTCAAACCAGATGTGAACATTGCATCCTTTGTTTTCTTCTGGATAATGGCATTTACATTTTCCAATTCAATCGTCAACCCAGTTTTATACAATATAGTCCAATTTAGACATGGTTGGAGGCAAATCTTTTTCTGTTGCCAAAATCTTCTTGGGAAAAAAGAGACTACAACGGACACTTCCTTGAAGCAACAAAATGGAAAACATTTCACAGTATCTGTTATCACCAGATAACTGTGTGGTATTCCTCATAAGAAGAAGGTCAACAGTTTTTAAGAATTGAAGTAAATAGTTGAGAAAACAATCAATTTGTAGAGACTGCTGTGGTTTCGTTTACCTTGGTAAGAAACATGGATGAATAAACCTGATAGCAATAAACTTGCATTAAAACAATTTAACTGGGAGGATCTCCATATTATACCATCCTAATCTAATTAAAATGATGATTTCTTCAGGATCTCCTTGCATATATCCATGACCTAACAACAGGTTCACACAAACTGTTGATTTCATAAGGACAAGAAGGCATGCTGGCTGAGGAATTCTGGGAGTTGAAGTCCACAAGTCATAAAAGGGTCAAGTTAGAAGACACTGGTCTAGCATCTGACTCAGTGTGAGGGAGCGTCTCCTGTTCCTATTGTGGATCAAAGGACCCTGACAAATCATGTTCACATAAAATGTATGAAAAATATAAAATACTCAATAGCATACCTTCAAGAAAAATGTTCACACATATCTTGTGAAAAGATGCAACATGTGCACAACTTGCAATAATGCTTTTATGTTTCAGCTTCTCCTTCCTCAAGAAAAGTAGTGTAGTTGGTCAAGATGAGGGTATACTTTACCTGCCCATGAGATGAAATTCTGCCAGCACAGTAATACAGTATTTGTGGATCATTTGTAGAATGAGAAACAACACATAATTAGCTCTGAAAATTTAGATTTATAATTTTTAATTACTGCAAATACAACATACTAGTTCTATACCCCAAATGCATAAATACACATTCACAACACAATCATGGTACTATTGCACTGATTTTAGTTTATTAACTAGTGAAAGGATGAATTATGTAATTCAGTGTACTTAAAATCCAAATGAATCCATGAATGAATTGAAATGAAATGAAGGACGTCTCTCAAAACTACATTTTAAAATCTTTTAACTATTGGGAATATGCTTTCCTGCTTTCCATAGAATATGTTGTCTTTACTCGCAGAATCCTAAGAAAGAAAAAGATAAAAAAAAATCTGCTAAAATTCCCAGAATGCATTACAAAATAAAGGGAACTGGTTTGATTTAATATGGTATAGTAAGTTTCCACAGCTGGCAGATGGGTACAAACCAACCTGCTAAATTACCAGAGTGTGAGTGTCTGTTTAATTTCACTCTTGATGACTCAAAGAATAATACATACATATTAAAATCGACAAGTCTGAGAAATACTGGTATAGACAAACCGTCCATGTGTAATATGTTAAAGCTTTTTTTAGGATGGGTAATATTGTGTGAATGACTATAATGACAGCTGCTATAATGTTAACTGAACTAAGGAAGTGGGGAAAAGACATGAATTTCAAGATGGAAAAACAGATATTCTGTGGGTTGCAGAACTGCAGGAAGAGATTTCCTAACAAAAAGGGAGAATAATCCAAATTTAAATTAACAAGCCAGATTGCCTCTATTTGCAAAAGGACTGTAGAGGAAATCATATTTGAGAAAACTGGTAAATATTGAATTAATATGGAATAGCAGAAATCCCTCTAGGCCTCCTTTTTTCAACTCCATCATTTATTAAAAAAACACCTGGTGTTTAACTCCTGGCCACGTTTTATTTAATGCCTTTCATGAGTTTTCTCTTGCCCAATTTGCCTTCCATTTCCATCTCCCTGGTCCCCTGAGATTTTGGCCTAGGTAGACTTGAGATCACAGCAACTGGAACCTTGTATGAAACAGTGGCATTCAGGATGGATAAGTAGGTTTATACAGTAAGTTTGTTTCTAGTATGAAAAGCTCCTCAAATCTGATCATTTCATCAGATGCACCTCTTAAACTTTATGTATTAGAGTTTGCCATGAATATAACTTGAAGCAGATGCAACAAATGTGTTGGATTTACAAATTTCCCAGCCTTAAGGTCGTACTGGTTAGAAATTCTAAGAATAATAGCCCAACATATCAGATTGGTGAAAGCTAGTCTTAAAGCATATGATGATCCAGACCATTATTTCTCAAACTCACAACTTTAAGATGTTGCCTGGTGAATTCTGGGAGTTGAAGTCCATACAACTCAAAGGTTGGATGATGTTAAGAAACACTGATCTAGACAAATATATTAGGAACTTAATTTTTGCCCATTCAAGGAGATACATAATGTAATGTATTCTCCATCTTTCACTCATAGTGCTATTTTCTTCCATAATCTGTCTGGAAGACCAGTCCTGTTTGTATCAAGGATTTTAGGATGATTGTGGCATCTGTGTGCCACTAAGAATTCTAATCTCATTAGAATGAGCACTTTTCTTGTTCTTACTCTATCCTGTCCTTAGCCAGATTTCCTGTAAATTCTAATAAAATATTCCTTACCATCATGTACAATACGCCTGTATTGCTTGTCTAGGCAGAGTTCCACCTGCTTTTGCCTGACAATTTTTTGTGCTTCGGGTGCTAGCCCATCTAGAGTCCGGGAAAACAAAAACGAGTAGCTATCATCACAAGTTCCATCTTCAGTAATATTACGGCAGGAGTAGTGTAGAGCATATGTATCGTAATCCGTGGCCATAACCCAGTGATCATCATCTAGGATAAAGTATAGTGAAAATTCAGTATGTGTCCTTTCCCAGCCTATGTGAGTCCTTGTTAACTCACAAGGACAAACCCCTCTTTTAACGTAGGCTGGAAATGCAGGAAAAACAAATCCCTTTTATTAATTAGGTACAGACTTGCAAAATGTCGCAAAAGCAAAGGCAAACAAAACACAATGCAAACGGAGAATTGTCCAAGGCAAACAGAACATGATTCAAACGGAGAATTGTTCACAAGCAAGGCAAACAAAACAGGATTCCATGAAACTTGATTCCTTTGCAAATGGTTGCCTTCAGCAACCAGCATTGCCCACACCTTCCCTTTTTATTATGCAGTCTCAAGGCTTCTCAATGCCTTCTCCTCCTCCCTTGGAGTCACCCCATTGCCTCCCTCTGTCCTGCTCTTGTTGCCTGTCTGCGTTTGCAAGCGTCTATGATGTCTTCCAGCTGTGAGTCCTCAGAGTCTGACTCAGCTTCCCCACTCATTCTCAGCCTGAACACGATTGGAGGGACCTGGCTCTTCATCAGATTGTAAGTCCTGGAGTTCATCAGAGCCTTCCTCCGACTCTGATGGCTCTCCAGGTCCCTCCTCCTCCTCCTCTGATTCCCCAGATTCAGCTGCCGGGTCCACAGACTGGCACAGACTCACAACAATATGTAGACCTCAACATATATGACAATTGGGATCAGAATTTATGATGCTAAGCAAGGTGGTTATTGAGTCATGCTTGATTTTATGACCTTTTTTGCCTGGATTGTTAAGTGAATCACTACAGTTGTTAAGTCCAAATTAATAACGTTTCACAAGACCCCAAGATGCTGTAAGTGTTATATATTCATGCTGGTGGCCAAGCTCCCAAATTTTGATCACGTAATTGTGGAGATGCTATGATATTTTTAAGTGAGAGGACTGGTTGCAAATCACTTTTTTCAGTTGTAACTTTGAATGGTCACTAAACAAATAGTTGTAAGATGAGGATTACCTGCATTTTTTATTCCACCAAGCCCATTAGTTCATCACATATTGATCCACTGTCACTCACTTTAAAAAGCTATTTCACACAATCTTTCTTCTTGAGCAAAACTTATTTTGTAGGCATCTGCTTAATAATGTAAAAAGCATTGCTGTTCAGGTACTGAACTTTATCAGATAAGAGATTTATTTTGGTATTAGAAAATGCTAGTTATTCAAAACTGATTCTGAAATGTTTAAATACACAGGCAATTTAGTTGCTCACATACATGTTAATGCTGTATGTAGAAAAATTATGAATAGAAATTAGATTTTAAAACATTATTTCAGAGGCAAATGGCAAGTCAAACTGGTGAACACAACTGGGAGAATGGTTTTCAGAAAAGTTGCTAATGGTGTTTTGGTGCTGAAGAAGCCAAAAGTTTAACATCCATGGAATGGATAGGCTTAAGTGATAAAAGTCCTGAAATTTACATAGGAATCAACACTAGGAGCACATTATCTTTTAAGTTATCAAATAACTTTAGGAGGGGAAAGAACTTCTAACAGCTTCCTTTCTAAAAGACTGGAGCCAGCTTTTGATAAGATACAAAGCAGGGGATGCGCCAAATTCAGTGTTTAACATGACCAGACAAGGACACCAGCCTTTGGACTCCAGAGCTTTTAGGAAGCAGAATGTTGTGATTTCGTGGCAGACCAAAGGTTAAATATCTGTTGAAAGTGGAGATGAAAAAAGAAAACTAGAGACAAATAGCCAGTAATATCTGATGATTTCTGGAGTTAGTCTGTTCTAGCCAAAAAAAAAAAAAAAAAAAAACCCTGAAAAAAGCAGGCAATTCCATCTGCCTTTTCTGAAGACTTCAAGGGATCACTAAAACCAGATTTTCAGCAACTTAAGTAACAAAATCATTCAAATGATATGTGAGTCTATTCTGAGCAACTTCCTTAAATGTAGCTGGAGCTTCAGTGGCCAGGCGTAGGAGATTTTCTTCTGCTTTCATCTACTGTATTTAATGTTTATAGATTTGACCAACATCTCTTCACAAAGTAAAGGAGACTAGATCATAACTTCCCCCCTCCCCAACCTGGCACTTTCTAGTTGTATTGAATTTTGCACTTTGAGCAGTCCAAGATAGCAAGGGCTCTGAGTAGCAAGCTCTCTTCCTGGTATACTCACTTCCTTTCTGAAGATATGAGGCCACACCCCAATATTTCATTTTAAACTTGGCAGGGTCCTCTGTCTCGGTGAAGGTGCCAATCATATCAGCACAAATATTCCAACTACTGAAAAGAAGGAGAGATGGATGTAAGGTCATATTTGTAAATCTGTAGCTACTTGTGCTTACCAGCAAGGAATAAAGGAAGGTAAGCAGGTGGAAGAGAGGCAAAAACTATAATAGGCTGGATCACATCATTTTCTAACTTGAGTAATAACCATTTTAGTTCTTGTGTTGCACCTACCAACACAAGTCAAGGTATTTAATAATCAAGGCCAAACATGATGTTTGGCATAAGACGGAAACTAACACCACCATCACCACTGGAGTGTCCCCTGTCTTGTCCTTCTTTATTGCAGTAGTAAAACATTCTAAAACCTACCAGTTTGATGTCCCAAGGTAGCTAAGAGAGCAACCTGATCCTCCCTAATGATACCACTGGACCTTCTGTGAAGGAAGCTTGATTTCAAGACTTACCGGAAGAGCTCAACTCGGCCTCTGGCAGTGGCAGTCATTTTATCATTCTCATCCACAAAAAAGGTGGCCACCACATTATCCTGAAGAAACAGTCCTTCAGGGTCTTTCTTGGCTATGGCATACCAGGTGCCAGCATACTGCCAAAAAGAGGGAGGGAAAGTCCTTAGCAAACCTGTCTATATGAGGAAATGCAATGCAAATATGAAGAAATGAAATGCCAATGAAGACAGTTTCAATTGCAGCAGTGTTCATCTGTCATTAACATTTGTAACAAAAATGAAATTCCAAACACGTTATGCAAGGATGAACTTCAATATTTCAAGAAACCCCAAAACATTTTGAGTGGAACTAAACAAACCTTGATTCTCAGCTAATTTTGCTTAAAATAAAATTCCAGATTAAGTTGGTGAGTGCCACTTGCAAGCCATATTTTGAGACTTCTGATTATAGACCTAAAGATTACCCATGTAGTAGGGCTGTTGATATTATCCTTCTCATCTTCACATCTTTCTCATTTTCACATCTTCTCTTCTTTCCTACTACCTTCTCCTATTAGTATCTATGATTTATCACTTGTTGTTGTATTTTGTGATTAATGATTGTAACCATGATCTATTAAATAAGCCATATCAGTTGTTGTATGTACAGTGAGAGGTTATGCACCAGAGACAAATTCCTTGTGTGTCTAATCACACTTGGCCAATAAAGAATTCTATTCTATTCTATTCTATTCTATTCTATTCTATTCTATTCTATTCTATTCTATTCCATTCCATTCCATTCCATTCTATTCTATTCTATTCCTTTGAAAGAGGGGTGAACCAAATACAATAACTCTGCAAAACGTAATAACTAATCTTTGTTTTATTTACCAGATAGTTCCTACATTATTATGAAACCAGTGGGAAGGTATAAATATATACCATTCCAGGGATGACACAGATTATCCACTGATTATGAGCCAATAGTAAAGGAAAACACTAGATCCAACATAGCCATACTTTTTCCTTACATATCTAATTTTGATTTCCTTACTACACCAGGAAAAGTGATAGAGAAAGTTGCCTGCTAGTAAAAAACATCCAATGTCAGATTTGTCTTTCCCAGAAAAATCAAAGTTGAAATATTCTCTGTAATCTTAGAAAAGGAAGTCTAAAATATTTGATGACTGTTGGCTTTCAGTCCTAAAGACCTGTGCCTTATATTTCATGAAATGTGCTCTTCTACATATAAAGTAACCTCTCTATTTTATTTTTACTGATTTTTAGATTGCATCCCACACCTTTATACAATGCTTAAGGCAGCTTACAGCACTGAAAAGACCCATTACAAAATGTAAGAGTAAAAACTATATCGTTGAAGTCAAGCCAAAATTAAGATTAGTATCAAAAATAATTGCTATCCATTGGAAGTGATCTAGAAAGCTTTTCCTTTTCCTGTCATCTCTAACACGGATAAAGCAGAGATAAACTGGGTTAGATAACTGAGCCTTCTAGGATTAACACATGAATAATTTGGATGATGAAGTAGTGCCAATTCTCTTCGCCTTGTCTCAGTCTGTCAATAAGAAAATCTGGGATCTAGCCTTTATAATAGAAGATGACTCACTTGGAGTTTACATACAGGTGAAATATCTACATACATAGGCTGTCCTAGAGAAACAATAATTCCAAGAAAGAAATTCCGGTAAAACCAAGTTACTGTTGTTACTTGAAATGTAAACACATGTAATACAATTCCCAAATGCGATTTCTCTAACAGAGTGACACCCTTTAAAATTTATTTCTGAAAATAAATGGGAAGAGTTGAACAGTTTGCTGAGAAATCAACACAACTAACTGCCTTTCTCTGTTTCAAAGAGAGATAACCATGAATTAGCTTCATGCAATGTTAATACTCTTATCCATTTAGCAGCAGTAGAACACATGACATAGAAGATTACACCTCCTGCCTAAAGGATTTTACTGTTTTTTACATTTGGCAACCCAAGAAGCAGTAGAGTTATATTTAGGTATTGTTATGAATTCGAGGATAGAGATTCTATGTCCCTCTAAATGGTTTCAGACTGCACAAAAGTGTAGTTCAGCACATTCAGAATCCCATGGGTTTCTCAGTCCTGGTGTAGGGCAGGAAATTAAAGTGACAAAGTAGATTTTAGAGAAGAAACTGAAAGCAGTAAGAATAATGGTTACTTGGAAGGGATCATTTAATTCAGTTTAATTCAGAATAGAGCTGGAAGGGACCTTGGAGGTCTTCTAGTCCAACCCCCTGCTCAAGCAGCAGACCCTATACCATTTCAGACAAGTAAGTGGCTGTTCAGTCTCTTCTTAAAAATTTCCAGTGATGAAGCACCCACAATTTCTGAAGGCAAGTTGGTTAATTGTTCTTACTATTAGAAAGCTTCTCCTTAATTCCAGGTTGCTTCCCTCTATGATTAGTTTCCATCCATTGTGTCTTGTCCTGCCTCTGGTGCTTTGAAAAATAAGATGATCCTCTCTTCTTTGGGGCAGCCCTTCAAATACTGGAATACCGCTATCATGTCACCTCTAATCCTTCTTTTCTCTAGACTAGCCATACCCTATCAGGCTTACTATACAGGCAATTAAGATTCTTTCATGTAACTGGGGAAAATTTTGGAAAGTTGGAGCAGCAAAAAAAAAAAAAGCAGGGATGGGCTGTAGGGGAGCAAACTAGAATATCTGAAGAAGGAAAAGATGAGGGCAGGATACTTACTCGATATTTATCAAAGTTTTCCTGTACTATGAAGTTGCTCACTTGGCAGTCCCGCTGAGCTTGACATCTGCTATCCAATAATGCCAAGAACCCCACTAGCATCAACCAGGCAAGACTTGGATTCCTGCACGACATCTTGCTCCTTTGTCCCTGTAACAAAAATCAAATACCAATCATAATGGGGAAGAAAAGGAAGACTGTGCAGAATAACCAGAAGGAAAGATGAAGAACAGACTCTTTTAGGCATATGGCAGATGAAATGATAAATCCAGTGCTTTTTTTGTAAAAAAAAAAAAAAAAGGTGCCGGAACTCACACACGTCATACAACCCGCCTTGCCTACCCTACAAGGTTCCATCCAAAAAAGGTGCCGGAACTCCGTTCTGGGCCTTCTATGACAAAAAAAAGCCCTGGATAAATCTTATGAAGCCCCCCTAAATAGAGTACTAGAATTCTTCTAAAAGGATCTTTCTGAATCAGGATAGTATTGGGACCTTTTGAGGTCATCTTCTGTATATCATAATCACCAGAGAAAGAGGCTCCAATAATTAAAGAAGTTACTTGTCTGTGGAAGAGAAATGCAGACCCAGCAGCTAAGTTCTAAAGCAAACAGGAAGAAGACAGGCGCTTTATAACCTTGGGTGAGGTTGGTGAAGCAGTTCTTTGCTTAAACCCCCTCCCATGCAGCAGAATTGGGAGGGGGAAGCAAGCAGAGACCAGGCAGTTAGATTAATTCCAGCTGCTGGCCAAGCTCTCCTAACAAAGATCTTGCATAACTCTACAGCAGGAGGCTGGGGAAGCAAACAGCAATGACAGCAATGATCTTTGATCCCCAGCCACACATACTCTTCTTTGGATTCTAGAACAACAGGGGTCTCTCCTGTTTATGTAACATCCTTTGAGTAAAAGCCAAGTCAAGAAAGCAAGATTCACCCAGCAAGCTCTGGTTATGGTTCAGAAGAGGGCTTGGTGGCTGCAAGTGTCTCTGAGAACTGTTCTTATTTTCATGCTCATTTGGGCATGGTTAGAAACACTTCATGATATCACTGGCAAAAAGGATTCTCATTCATTCAGTGTTGTCACTGATCCTTCGAGCCTTTCTGAATGTTAAAGGATTTTTTTAAAATAGAATTGTGGTAGGAAAGAAGACCCAATATCCATTGTACAACAATATCTTTTGCTATAGTATGGTGATTGGATTGGTTTCCCCCCATGGGCAGGCCTAGTTATCTTTTTTTAAAGGGAGAATAGGTGTCTTATATGTGAATGTGAGACAGAGCAGAAGATGATCTTCCTGGGGATGAGCTGCCTTTCACGTAAGATGTATCAGCAACAAGATAGTTCTGGAGAATGATTGATTTTTGAGACTCCATCTTCTCTGTGGTCAACACAGAGGATATATAAAGAGTACAAATGAAGCAGTCGTATCAATAGATATAGCTACCAAAGCAGTTATAGAAACTGAAGTTGGCTATGGGATTAATAAATATTTCACATTCAATAATTCAGTAGTTCCTCCAGGAAATCCCAAATCCAGGGCACTTTCATATTTTTTTTTTTAATCAAATTTGTTTGCTGTCCATCCTGTATTTCGAAGGAACTCTGAGCAGCTGGGGTTTCATCCCCAAATCTTTCCCAGCCACTTTATGGACATCCACATTGGGTAGATGGGGAAGTGGGGCAGGGAAGTAACTCATGCAAATTGTGATACCAAGATGCCACTGACACATTATGCACAGGTAGTCCTCAACTTACAACCACAATTGAGCCCAAAATTTCTGTTGCTAAGTGAGACAATAAAGTGAATTTTACCCCATTTTACAACCTTTCAATTGTTAAGTGAATCACTGCAGTTGTTAAGTTACTAAAATGATTGTTAAGTGAATCTGGCTTCCTCATTGACTTTGCTTGTCACAAGGTCGCAAAAGGGGATCACATGACTCCGGGACACTGCTACCGTCATAAATATGAGTCAGTTGCCAAGCGTCTGAATTTTGATCACGTGACCATGGGGAAGCTGCAACAGTTGTATTTTGTAGTGGGAACAGTGAAGCATTGAAGACACGAGGTGCAATTAACAGCTCTTTACTAGGTTCTCACAGAAGCAAACTCTAGCAGCTGCCTGACTTATATTTATACAGACCGCCACTAGGCGGTGGCCAATCAGTTTAAATTATTCATTCGCGCCAAAAACAACTAGCTTAAAGTTATACAGTCTATCATTCAAATAATGCAATCAGTTAACCGTTTCTTTATAACAGACCCATTGAATTGCTTAATATATAACAACCCTTTCCCCTGAATCAAAACATATCCAAGAACTGTACAAATTCATTTAGGTAAGCAGGCGGTTTCTGCATTCGATTCGACTGCCTCACTTCTGCCTGAGGTTCCCGGTCTTCCCTCGGTTGGCTGGATAGACCAGAGTCTTTCTGACAACTTTGGTTGGGAAGACCAGTCTCTTTGTCTTTGGTGACCAGGTAGACCGGTCTCCCCTCGGCTGGTCTGTTCCGGTAGACCAGTATGGATGTCCGAGAGCGGAGCAGTCTCTGAAAAGGCTGGGAAATAAATCTTCCAGCATACTTTGATCTGCAGACACAGTTTCTTCGGTCGGAAGCGACCGACCCATGACTGAGTCGTCCAGCCTGTCTCTTGGAGTCGCACCAGACTCTGGAGATTGAGATGCACTGCCGCAGTCAGGGAATTCTCGGCTCGCCTCTTGGTCAGCAACGAAGGTTAGATTAGCCTGCCGCAATGCAGATGATCAATGTGGCAGCACAAAAAGAGTCCATGTTCTAGGACCATTTTAACTCCTTTTCAAAACAAATATTAACAAATTAAAAACAAAAATAATAATATAATTAAACCATAATACTAAAAATAATATAAATTTAACCATATTGAACTATTAAAAATAATCTAAAATCTACTCCTAAGCAAGATAATACTTTTCAGTCTCATATTTCTTTTGAATATAATCAATCCATCTTCTCCAAACCGAAATATATTTTTCTTGTGAATGGTCCTTCAAATAGGCATAGATTTTTGCCATTTCTGCTAAATTAGACACCTTAACTATCCATTCTTCCATAGTAGGCAAAGAGTTTTTCTTCCAATATTGCTCCACAAGTAATCTTGCAGCTGTTATAAGATTCAGCATCAAATCAATTTCTTTGACATCAAAATCTACAATAATACCCAGCAAAAATAATTGCGGAGTAAACTTTATCTTTCTCTTAAAAATCTTTTGAATATTCCACCAAATCTTAATCCAAAAAGCTTTTATATCTCTACAAGTCTCAGCTTTATCAGGATTGGCTTCTGTGGTTGTGAAGTTGGACTCCAGAGTGGAAGAAGTTGCAGAGAAAGTAGATTTCCTTGAGTATAAATTCCAAGATATGGAAAAAAAGATGGAAACATCACAAGATGACATTCTCATGTCTCAGTATAGACAAATGGAATATGCTTTGAGAATCAGGGGTCTTAAAGAAGATAAGAATCAAGATTTGATGGAGATGGTGATTAATGATTTAGCTGTTGTTTTGAATACAGATAAAGATGAATTACGTAGAGAAGTGGAAAAAATTTACAGAGTTAACTCCTGGATTGCGAAACAAAAGAATCTGCCAAGAGATGTGGTGATTTACTTCGCCAAGAAGTCTCTGCGTAATGAGATTATACAAGCTTTTTATAATAAGAGGTTCCAGATTGCTGCCCAAGATGTTATTATTCTAAAGGAAATCCCATCAAAAATTTTAAGAAATAGAAAAGATTTTGCTTTTTTAGCTAATGAACTTAAAACAAGATTGATGCCATTCAGATGGGAGATTCCGATGGGTATTGTTTTGAGCCATGCGGGGACACGATACAGACTTAATACGGTTGCCAAAGCTAAAGAATTCTATAACACGGTCCTGGGAGCAGGCTCATCTTCATCTATGACCCAGCAAGCTTTGGGCAGCAAGGAGGTGGAACAGCAGTCTGAAGGAAAATTACAGGTGGAATGGCTGCGTCAAACAGAGGTCAAAGAGCAGAGAATGACCAGTGCAGCACATAAACGTAAGGAAAAGGAACACAGAAGAAAGAAGCTAAAGAATCTTCTCATGAGAGTGTTTCAATGCCGGTGGGAGGAACAAGACCCAAGAGCTCTGCAACACACTGTTCAGTGGCAGATCTTCAGGCAGTCTTCTCCAGGCTCCTGGTTGAGGGAGATGGCAAAGTTCCTGACCTGGAATGCTAATGGTCTTAATTCCCTGCAGAAAAGAAAGAAAATCTTTCATTATCTAAAGCAACATAATAATGATATTATCTGCTTGCAGGAAACTCATATTTTACTTAAAGATCAAAAATATTTAGCTAATGCTCGCTTGGGGTCTCATTTTGTATCTCCTGCCCCTGGAAAAAAGGGGGTGTGGTTATTTATTTTAAGCAAAGTCTACCAGCTTGTCTGGTAGAATCAGATCCTCAAGGAAGATATGTTATGATTGAACTTGGCTTATATGGTAAGAAAATACTTATAGTGGGTTTGTACGCACCAAACCAGCAACAGGAACAATTTTATAGATTATTACATCAGAAAATAACTTTGCTGGACTATAGGTCTGTGATATTAATGGGAGACTGGAATGGTGTTTTAGACACACAAAAGGATAAAAAAGGTTCTTCTACTTTTTTTAAACAGGCTAAATTACCTAAAGCTTTTTTTGATTTGAAAGAGGACTGGGAGCTGAGAGACTATTGGCGTGAATGTAACCAAGAGGAAAGAGACTTCACCTTTTTCTCAGATAGACACCAATCTTTCTCAAGGATTGATTTCTTCTTGATTACAACTGATTTATATAATAGGGTGAAGAACGTAAAAATTTTTCCTAGGTCATTGACGGATCATAGTCCAGTCTGGATGGAATTGGCTGCTGAAAAAGAGGAGAGGAGATCCTGGAGGTTGAATGAGAACTTATTTAAACAAGAAAAAAATGTTCAAAAATTAAAGGAATGCTTAAAGGACTATTTTGCTTTAAATATGTATAAGGGAACATCAATGTCAATGGTATGGGATGCAGGTAAAGCCTTTATGCGTGGGATTTTGATAAAAATGAATAATGTTCATAGACAAAAGCAGACCCAGAAACGTAAAGAATTAGAAGAGGAGATTAAGCTAAAAGAGAAGTTTTTTGATTTTAAACCCTTCAGATGAAAAGGTTAAAGAAGCTATAAAGTTGTTAAAAACACAATTTAATATGTTGATGGCTGACCAAGCTGCAACTAATTTAATGTTTATGAAACAAAATACATTCTGTAATGCTAATAAACCAGGGAGATGGTTGGCCTATCAATTAAGAAAGAAACAGAGACAGAGAATTATAGATAAAATAAATTATAATGGTAAATTGGTCTACCAGAAAGAGTTGATTAAGAAATCTTTTCTAGATTATTATCAGAAATTAAATAAGAGCACCAATGTACAAACTTTAGATATAAATAACTATTTAAGTAAGGCTAATTTTCCTAAACTAACAGAAGATCAGAAACAAGAAATTGATGGTTTAATTACTAATGAGGAAATTGTGACAGCCATTAAGCAATTAAAATTAGGTAAAGCGCCGGGTACGGATGGTTTGACATCTATTTATTATAAAACCTTAGTAGAAGAAATGACTCAACCTTTATGCGAGCTTTTTAATAT